AAAATTTTTTTTTTTTTTTTTTTTTTTTTTTTTTTAAAGCAAGCATGAACTGCAACACTGAGACAAAAATGAGCATGGGTGACATTAAGCGCCACTTTGCCAGATGCAGCTTGCACGGATAGATTAATGGCCAAGATGATTTCTCTGCCTGTGACTGGCAAGGGGCCAGGCACTAATATTTATGATTTATCGTGCTCTTTTGCTCTTTTACCAAGCACTTTGTCCTGGCTGCCATGTGGGGGTGAAGGAATCGCATGCTCTCTTAGGCACAAACAGCTTGGAGGGGTCCAGCTGGAAATGTGGGAAAAGCCTGAGAGTGTTTTGCTCGGCAAGTGAATTTTCTAACTTTGCCATATTGTATTTTACGCTATGCACCATTCAACTCTGGCTCTTCCAGCCACAGCGCATAAAGGGGAATTACACCACTCAAAGCGGAGATGATCTCCATTAGCCGTGACAGCTTTACGACACAGGCTGGCTCTGTTTAACGCTCGTAATGTTTTACTGCAGCCTTGTACCAGCAGCCACAGCAGGGCTGCTCTCCGGGCTCGGCTCAAACCCTCCCTCCAGCCGCATCCAGAGGAGAAAGACCAGCTTCAGGGATGCGTGATCCCGCAGCAGGGTCTGCGGCACTGGAAACCAGGAGAGAAAGCCACCACCAGCGCCCAAGCTGCCTTGCACCGGGGCTCAGCTGCCAAAGAGAGGGAGAATCACAGTTATCCCACAGTGGGACTCCAGAGAGATGCAGACCCCCCCCCCTCATGCAAGCGCTCCCTCATTCCCCCAAGAGCCTCAGCCCAGCAAGGGGGCACAGGCAGGCGGAGGTCACTTCCCTGTGCCCGGCTGCCCAGCATCCTCTGCCAGGACCCAGCAGAGCTATGCCGGCACGCGGGCAGGCACGCTGGGTGTATGCCAAGGGGCCTGGCGGGTTGTCTGGATGCTCTGAGCGGTGCCCAGGAGCACCTCTGGCAGGGGGCAGCTTCTGCAGCAAGTCTGACGGCCCTTCCCAGGAGGCACCGACCCCACAGCCTGCTCCATGGCACAGCGGGGACAGAGCGGGACAGGAGTAGGCGGGCATGCAGTGAGCCGGACCACCCCACCAACATGCAGTGCAAGCCTTGGGAGCAAATCGCTCTTCTCAGAAGAGTCAGGCAGGAGCAGGAGCGGCAGCGGCGGGGCACGGGGAGGAGAAGCGCTGCTTTGGCCAACCCAGCCAGGGCTCTGGGGATGCTGCGCAGCAAGCAACCCTGCAGCAGCTATTACCCCTCCAGACCTTCTTGACCCGCAGCCACTGTTTGGAACAGCCTACAGATGGGCAGCCTTGAGACTGCCTGTAGGCTAGGACTACTTTCCTCTAGCCTGAGTTGAAGGGATGGCCTGCAAGAGATTTAAATAGTGGATTTAAAACTACAGGAAAGTGGACGGATGATGGATGGAGGGTCAGGAGAAGAGGAGATGCAAAGGCAGGAACCTGCACGGAGGCTGGGGGAAGCTGCCAAGCACATAAGCCTGTGGACACAACTCCCTTGGCTGCTCTGGGAACGCCAGCTAGAAACCTGATGGGAGCAAAGGAGATCCCCTTCTCGGCTATTTGCCTCTTCCTGCGCCAGCACCTTTGCCACCAGCGAGTAGCTGCCTCCCCAGCACTGCAGGCAGCCAGGGCAGAGGCAGGCAGCAGCAGCGTGCACTCCCCGTGGGGCGGATGATGCCGACACCCTCCATGCACAGTCAGGGCATCCACAGGTCACCTAGTGATGGCCAAAACTAGTCTCTGGAGTACGACATGTGATTTGAGAGGCTCCTATGTGAGCTACAAATGTCCTGGATACCAGGCACCCCTGGGCGCAGGTGTGGGGAGCCCAGGGTGGTTCACCAACCGTGCATTTGGCTCTAATAGTTAGACAAGGCAGAAAAGCAAGACCCTGCAGCCCCGCAGCCTGGCCTCTGCAGGCAGCACAGGCTATTCTGCAGGCAAACTCATTTACACTCATCCCAACAACTTTCTCTGTACACGGGTTGCTGCCCTGGCAAAGCCAAGCCCAGATGGCAGGTGCAAGGCTGGGGCGTAAGTGCTGGCCTCAGCTCCAAACCCTCTTCTTCCGTACAAACCACACCAGATCTGGGGCAGAGGGATGCCACCACCCGCAGGTGCCATCACTTTGCGGAGAGGGGAAAGGAATGAAAATAATAACAACTTGT